TATGCCATTGGTTTATTTTTACAAAAAGTTTAAATTTTCTTATCAAAGTCCCTACACTATTGGCCACTATTAGCGGTGCTGACTCTAGCCTCTGGTATGTACGGAATATTAAACATTAAACAAGCTCAACGCTCGAAACAATCGATTAATGTATCGTGATCGTGTGAAATTCGGGAAAGAGAATTACTTTTATTTCAGATTATGATCCAGTGAGTCACAAAATCTGGCAAATTCCGAAATCCGGTATATTCCGGAATCCGGTTGTTCCGGATACATGTAAATCCGGCGGAACCGGATTTCACCGGATAGTGCAAAATCCGGCGGAACCGGATTCCGGACCGGGGTCCGGCACACCCCTAAACAAAATCATATTTTTAGCTGTTGTAGTTTTAAAGTGGCTGTGAATGGTTGCAAATGACAACGTGTTGCACACGGTAAATTCTGATCATTTATAATATGGATTCTACCGGGTTGTTAAAGCTCAAATTAAAACATTCCAGTTTAAATGTCTTTAAAATGCATTCTGAAACACAAGTTATCAATTATTTTGATGTAAATAGTTAAAACATTCCAGTTTAAATGTCTTTAAAATGCATTCTGAAACACAAGTTATCAATTATTTTGATGTAAATAGTGATAATAAATTAATATTTCCTAAGTATCGGCAACTTCCGCCATTAAAAAGGGGGCGTGGCCAACCCCATGGCGAAATTAGGTTGAGCGAGCTGCATGACCTGCTGCGAACGCGTAGAAACATGGCGTCTCTCGTAAGACACTTATCCAAATGGAACGGAACTCAAATATATATCGAAAGTACTAATTTAATAATAAATAGACACACACATCGGAAAATTAAAAACTCGGATTTTTTGGCGCCGATTGCGAATTCCCATACACAAAAAGTAGTAGTCTACCTTGACTTACCGAAGTATCTACCAATAGTACCGGAATCCAGGAGAATCCGGATCCGGCGGATTTCGCATAAGAAAATCCGGATCCGGCGGATTTCGCATAAGAAAATCCGGATCCGGTTGGAAAAAACGGATCCGGCACACCCCTAATCCTAATCCCCCTT